AAAAAATCTTAAAATTTCCAGGTCTGTGTTTCTTTTTTTCTTATAAAGTGTAATATGTGTACAAGAAAAGTGTCTATATTATAAACTATTTTATTCAAAATGTTATTTTCTTTTAACTTATCATCCTGAAAAAATAATTTATTTTGAAAATTTGGCAAGATTTTTTATTTATTTTTTAATGTTTTGGTACAACATTAATTTTTAAGAAATTAAGACACGTGGAGAAAATATGTTGTGGAATTTTTTTAATGTGTTACTTTAAGTAGTTTTTCTTCAAAGTGCACCTAGCAAATGACAAAAACAGAATGACCAATAAGACCTTGGATAAGTCTTGTTTAATATATGTATAATAACTAAGCAAAAAGGAAAACTGTTTCAGGTGATTATATAATACATTTTTATAATAACAATGGCTCCCAAAAGTGTTTGTCCACTTATAACTTTTATTGAAATAGGAAATAAAAATTCAGTAATTAAGATGAATATTTCAGATAATAAGATATTAATCAAATATTAGCAAAACTGCATGGTATTTTAAAAACAAAGCGAAAGTTTCTTTTAAAGATATCAATAATCAAATAGCAACCAAAATTTTACCCCACGAAAGTCATCATACACTTAAATATTTTACAATTTCAGAATTAAAATTATCGTCTATTGTTTTAATTTGTTCCTTTAATTATTTTTCATTTAAATTTTTATACATTTATTTGCACTTTAGTATCAAGCTTATGATAGCAAAATTATATTTTAATTTTTGCTTCACCGTAATATTTTCTTTTATCATATAAAAATAGCTCATGGCCATAACAAAACAATATGTTAAATTTGAAAGTTGATTATTTGTCATCATAAGAGGTAAATCAGTAATGAATATTGTTAAATTAGTTTAATGCGTCCTATTGCGGGCAAAGAAGGACTGGACTTCATATCAGAGATAAAAATTATAAAATTTGCGGAAAAATTCATAAATTCACAAATGAGTATTGTAAAAGTTTTTGTAACATTTAATAAAAAATATTCTGCTCGAATTTCACCCGACAAAAAAAAAATTAGTTAATTTACTTACTAACTTATAAAAGCTCTATTGTAGATGTGACAGGAAACTCTACTAAATACTACTACAGTAGAGTCCCGATTATCCGAGTTAATGGGGACCGCAACAAACTCGGATAACCGAAAAACTCGGTTAAAGCGAAGAGTATAAAAACGGAAAGAAAAAGAGAAGGTATAAATGTAATATATTTAAGAAATACAAAAAGTATGTGAGTATACCACATACAATTNTAAAAACAAAGCAAAAGTTTCTTTTAAAGATATCAATAATCAAATAGTAACCAAAATTTTACCCCACGAAAGTCATCATACACTTAAATGTTTTACGATTTCAAAATTAAAATTATCGTCTATTGTTTTAATTTGTTCCTTTAATTATTTTTCATTTAAATTTTTATACATTTATTTGCACTTTAGTATCAAGCTTATGATAGCAAAATTATATTTTAATTTTTGCTTCACCGTAATATTTTCTTTTATCATTTAAAAATAGCTCATAGCCATAACAAAACAATATGTTAAATTTGAAAGTTGATTATTTGTCATCATAAGAGGTAAATCAGTAATGAATATTGTTAAATTAGTTTAATGCGTCCTATTGCGGGCAAAGAAGGACTGGACTTTATCAGAGATAAAAATTATAAAATTTGCGGAAAAATTCATAAATTCACAAATAAGTATTGTAAAAGTTTTTGTAACATTTAATAAAAAATATTCTGCTCGAATTTCACTCGACAAAAAAAAAAATTAGTTAATTTATTTACAAACTTATAAAAGCTCTATTGTAGATGTGACAGGAAACTCTACTAAATACTACTATAATTAGAAAAATTAGAATATTTACTAATAGGCAGAGATTTTTTTGAAAGTGTATGATGGCTTTTATGAGGTGAAGTTTTTGCTACTTTTTGATGATTGATTTCTAAAAAATAAACTTCTGCTTTCTTTTTAAAATATTCCATGCAGTTTTGCTAAGAATAGAATACATTTTTTATTATTAAATAGCCATTTTGAAATATTCATTTTAATTAATGAATTTTTATTTCCCATTCCATTGAAAGTCATAAGTGTACCAACACTTTTATGAGTCACTGTATTTACATTCCAATATATACTGTATATTGCAGTATATCTTAACGGTGCTTTTTATAAAATTCATTGATCATATTTTCTTTAAACCAATATCTCAATTCAAAATTTTTAAATGTTTTTTCGAATAAGAATTATTATTTTAAGAGATTCAGTATACAAAAATTAAATGTCACAAATTTAAAATTGTCTAATTTTTTGTTGTATACTCTATAGAAAACAAAAGATTAAATTCTTTAAATTTTATACTTTTTTTTCTTATTTGAAATTAAAATATTTAAAGAATTCCAATTTAAAGACATAATTTTAGTTTAGTTAATTGTTTTTTGTTTTAACAACTAGAGTCCTGTACAGTGCAGAACTAAAACACTAAGTTTCGTTTTCCTTCTTTGTACTAAACACATATGAATAAATTAAAAAAAAAATTATGTTTAAAATTTATTTTATCATTTAATATGTTTCCTATACATTCTTTAGTTTTTGTCAGCATTTTAGGGTAAAAGGATGAATAGTTCGGGAAATATCATCTCTGGAAAGCAAGCAACATTTACGAACTTTCGATATAGTGATAATTATACAATTCAAAATTTAAATCAAAAATCATATATTGACCAAAAAAACAGTAAAATTAAATATTAATATATAGTTAGTTCTTTAAAAAAACCTTTTTTTAAAAGTTAAAATATGTTATAAAAAGTTAAAATGAAATAGAAAAAATTAGTATTAGTGCAACAATTTGTCGACCAACATTGCTGTTAGCGGTTGTTAAAATAATGTGTGATTGGTTGACTTGCTGAGAAAAAATAATTCACAGATTTCTTTGAATAGGAGTACAAAAGCTTTCAGAAAAAGATTGCAATATAAAATCGATTATTATTAAATTATAACAAATTAACTTTTTGAGAATTTCATAAGTCAAAAAGGTTTCTACATTCGTTTAGCAACCGTGGGCGAAATTTATGTGGCATTCTAGTTTAACAGAGCTGTAATGGAGCAAATTTTGATGCAGACAAAGTATTGTTAAGTTAGTGACATTTCAGCTGTTTAGCGATACATTTCCGTCTAAAAAAAGTGGGTAGAATGGATGAAATAATTTAAATTAAGAAAATTAGTAAATAATTTAAATTAGTGAAATTAAAGCAATTATTGAAGCTAAGATTTCCAGCTTTTCTCTAAAATTCCCTGATTTTTCCAGGTTTTAATCCAAATTTCCCTGATTTTTCCAGGTTTTTTCCAGTATAAAAAAATTCCCTGACAATTCCAGGTTTTCAAGGTTTCCCTGGTGGGTGGTCACCCTGAGTTAAACATAATTATTAGACGCATTGCAGTTTTTTAGTAATTGCGTGTTTTGCACGTTGTTGTATGCAAATACTTTTAAGTATACATGTAATGGGTTTTTATTCAGGTTTTTTAATAGACTTCCGATTTGTATTTATTTTTTACGTATTGCATTACAAATGGTAACCAATTAATACACGAACGTAAACAAGTGCAAACCGCGTAAAAACGATAAAGCTGTATAGAGTATCATCTGATAATTAATTAAGATTTTACATAGACTCTTAAAGTGCTTCTGATAATTAGGCCAGGTTACAGTATATTATTTCCAGGGGTCTGTAAAGACATTTTGTGAAAGGTCCTGTTTTTGTAAAATTGTGAATAAATGACTCGTAATTTGTGAATATAAAATAAACGTTAAGTCACATTCTTTCAACCAGTGTCCGGTTTTTATTAATTTGTACAAATAGGGTCCTGTTATTCCAAAAAACTTTTTCAAGGAGTTTTTAGATTGTAAATAGATACAAGATTATACTCAACACTGTAAAATTAAATTACAAAAAAAAAATAACAATAAACAGCAATTGTTGCTGTTTATTTTTGAAATATTTGGTATTTAGCAGGGGTCTGTTTAGAAGAAATTTGGGTCCGTTAACGCAGGGGTCTTGTTTAGAAGAAATTTGGGTCCGTTTACGGACCCTTCACAAAATATCTTTTCATAAATATTTTAACTTAAAAACGGACCCTTCACAAAATATTTTAACTCAAAAACGGACCCATCACAAATTTGTTTATCTCCATTATTATTTTGTTAATCGAATAAACCCTTTCTAGGGCAGAAAACAAGAAAGATGGATGTAAACGAATTAAGTTTTGTCTTCGGCAGACGATTCTTCCATTATTCGTCCGAAATTAATATTCTGCGTTCAGCAGTATAGGCTAAATACCAAATATTTGTATGTTGCATCTCTAATTTAGAAGCAGCAATTGTTGTTTATTTTTTAAAATTTAATTTTTTTAATTATAATTTTACAGTGTTGAGCATAATCTTGTATGTCTTTACAATTTAAAAACTCCTTGAAAAAGTTTTTTTTTTCAATAACGGACCCTATTTGCACAAATTCATAAAAGCGGACCCTGGTTGAAAGAATGTGAGTAATTTTTTCACAATTTCACGAAAAACGGACCTTTCACAAAATGTCTGGACAGACCCCTGTTTAGCCTACACTGCTGAACGCAGAATATTCATTTCGGACGAATAACAGGAGAAGTGTCTGACGAAGACAAAACTTTATTCGTTTACATCGTCTTTCTATTCTACCCCGGGAAGGGTTTATTTGATTAACAAATAATAATGAAGATAAACAAATTTGTGAAGGGTCCGATTAAAGAAATCATTTTGTGAAGAGTCCGTTTTAAGTTATAATATTTTGTGAAGGGTCCGTTTTTATGAAAATATATTTTGTGAAGGATCCATTAACGGATCCAAATTTCTTCTAAACAGACCCCTGATTTCTAAAAACTTTAATCCTTACAAATCAAAGAATCGAAACAGAAAATATAAAAAGTGAGCTCACCTCGTCGGAATCGTCGGAGGGCGCATGCTGACGTTTCCGGGAACGGAGCTTAGGAGCTGGAATCCTTAAAAGACAAAAAATATTTGTGTAAAAATTGTGCATGCCAAACAGTTTAATGGGTGACAATACCCATGAAGTTACAAAAGAACTGACAATTTTTAACAAATTAAACACTGCACACATATTATTCTAGGGAAAACTGTTAAAATAAGTGAACATCTTCAGACCAAAGATACTCAAGGTCAATTAAAACTCCTAGTCAGGGTGCGTAGCCAGATTTTAAACAAAATATAAGCACCTTCAGGGTGGCCACTCAAATCAAATTTCCCCTGATTTTTCCAGGTTTTCCAAATAAAAACTTCAAAATTTCCAGGTTTTTGTTTCTTTTTTCTTGTTAAGTGTAGAATGTGTACAAGAAAAGTGTCTACATTATAAAATATTTTATTCAAAATGTTATTTTTTTTTAACATATCATCTTGAAAGAAATTATTTATTTTGACAATTTGGGAAGATTTTTTATTTATTATTTAATGTTTCGGTGCAACATTAAATTTTAAGAAATTAAGACACGTGGAGAAAATATGTAGTGGAAAATATATGTTGTGGATAAAATATGTTGTGGAAAGCATTAAATGTTTACTTTAATCTGCACTTTCAATCTCAAGAATCAAAAGATTTTTAAAAATGTAATTTCAAATGTGTTGGAATTTAACACACAACAAGAAAGTAGTTTCATTAACTAAAATTAATTAATGCAGCAATTCCTTTAAAATAAATTTTTAAACTAAGAAAAGAAAATAATAAAAGTATCAATAATTTAAAACACTGTTTTTTACTTTTTAAATCCAGATAAAAATCTTAAAATTTCCAGGTTTTTGTTTCTTTTTTCTTATAAAGTGTAGGATGTGTACAAGAAAAGTGTCTACATTATAAAATATTTTATTCAAAATGTTATTTTTTTAACATATCATTTTGAAAGAAATGATTTATTTTGACAATTTGGGAAGATTTTTTATTAATTTTTTTAATGTTTCGGTACAAAATTTTGAATCAAAATTCATATATTGACCAACAAAAGACTAAAATTAAATATTAATATATAGCTAGTTCTTAAAAAAACCTTTCTTTTAAAATTAAAATATGTTATAAAAGGTTAAAATGAAATAGAAAAAATTAGCATTAATGCAACAATTGTAACAATTTGTCGACAAACATTGATGTTAGCGATTGTAAAAAAATGAGACTGGTTGGTTTGCAGAGAAAAAATAATTCACAGATTTCTTTGAACGGGAATACAAAAGCTTTCAGAAAAAGAGTGCAATATAAAATCTATTATTATCAAATTATAACCAACTAATTTTTGGGAAATTTTATAAAGTTAAAAATACAAAAACATTTTGTCAAAATGCGCTACGGACCGACTATAGGCCAAAATGTATTGTGGTTGAATGAATTATGAAAACGTTGAATAGAACAATGTGAAAACCACTCTTTTTGCGTAATTAGAGGCAAAAATTGATACGTACAGTAAAGAAAATCTCATTTTGGAAAAGGGAAAATTAAGCACTTTTCAAACACAACCCATGAGAAAAAGCTTCTTTAAAGTCTTTTAAAAAACTAAAATAAGCACCGTCAAGCACTTTTTAAAAATGCTACGCACCCTAGTTAACTAGTTATTTGGTAATTAATATTTAAAATTGCTCGATTAGACACACACCCTAAAACGAGTGAAAATAAACCTTATTTTGCTATCTGGGATAGTTTTATAAGCCAAGAAAAAGTCAACTTACGATCCTATGCTATGTCCAGCAGAGCCTGCCTCCTGAAATCATAAAAAAAGTAAATAAATGCACGTTCCTTAGTGTCATAAAAGAATATTTTATAATTAAACAGTGACTTTTAAAAAACTTAGCACTAAACATGCCTATTTCTACCATAGTCGGTCCGGACTTTTATGTTTCTTGATCGAATGTTATGAAATATGTTGTCAGGAAGGAAATAAACTAAAAAATATTTACCAATTTTCATGTATTACAAACACAAAGAATGAGAATTTTTAATTCATTACTCAACGCATTTTTAACATGTACAGGATGTTTTCCGCAAACATATTTATTCTAATTACTATTATTTCTATCGTTTTAATATTTATAAGAATATACAGTGAATTCGCGATAACTCGAATCTGATAGGACTGACGAAAAACTTCGACATATCGGAAGTTCGACTTACCGTTAGTTTCGGTTTTGGACTTTCAAAATATTGTCGGATTATTTAATTAATGCTTATTAATTACAAATCTTCTAAATGCTTACAATATTTAAGATCATTTTTCTGACAAGCCATTTACGATAAGACTGTTTTAAGCACTTTATGATACCTGACTGCAACTTTGCTGTTGTGTGTGGCGGGAGAAAGTGCAAGTTAACTGCTTTCAAATTAGGTAGATCACTATGCGCTGTGCATTTATCCATAAAGAGTATCAGTTTTCTTTTCTTAGCGTAGAATTTCCGATCCAATTTTCTTACATAGTCTTCAAATAATACTGATGTCATCCAAAACTTTTTGTTAGACTTGTAATCCAAAGGATACGTTTTTACATTCTTGAAACATCGGGGATTTCGGTATTTTTCCGATAACAAGTATGGGCAATTTCTCTGTCCCAGACGCATTTCTTTCAACTAGGACAGTCAAACGTTCCTTGCTCATTTTACCCCCTGAGCAGTTTT